GCCGTGTTTGGGGAGAAAAACCTATTTATTGTTTACCTGAAGTTCAAATGTAACTCTGACTTGACTGGGTGTATTTTTATTAGCTAAATCTAGCAACTGAAAGCACACGCAGTCTTCAGCTGCACATTGTTCTCTTCCTGTTTCCTCATGACACGCCCAGCTGCTTACGAATCTAAGATACCAGCGAGTGGTGACCCCAAACAGGATGATTTGTCCCTACCTAGTGGTGAACCCAGTCAATGTCTGTACCTTCAATGTCCTGCTTAATCACTTATGCAACACTTACTGAGTGTCAGCTACAGAGTCAAAAAAAAAAAAAAAAAAGAGTCTTTGCTTGCCATTTAGCAGAAGGGGCTACATTGAGGCAAATTGCTCTAAAATCTCTCCTAGGCAGCACCCTAGATGAATGTGCAGGTACAGAGGGTCACAAAGATGACTTCTACGTGTTTAAGAGGTAGAGGTCTTTTAGGAAGATTTCAGACTGGATGATCTAACTCTTTATCCTATAAATGTCTTAATCTTTTTTCTAACTAAAATTCCAGACTGTTAAAACAGTATGAGATTTCGGACTATTTGTTGTTATATTTAAGGACTAACTCCAATCCTTTGGGAAAACGGACTTTCTACTTGATAGGCAAATGTTTTTCTCATTCATTCTTTTTCCTCAGCTCCTTCCTCTCTTGAAGGAGCTAGGAAATTTTGGGGAGGATCAGGGGGTTAGGGGCAGTGAGATTCACAGTGAGGACAGTTTAATTAATTTTTTAAAAGATTTATTTATTATTTTAGAGATGGGGGAGGGGCAGAGGGAGAGAGAGAATCTTAATCAGACTCCCCTACTCAGCACGGAGCCCAGCACGGGGCTCAATCCCAGGACTCTGAGATCATGACCTGAGCGGATATCAAGAGTCAGATGCTTAACCGACTGAGCCACCCAGGTGCCCCAAGGACAGTTTAAGCCAGCTACTGACAGCAACAATCTATTTTCTCCCTCTTCCCCCAACCTGTTTTTTCTAAGCAAGACTGTCTACTCTGCCAATTTTTTTTTTCTCCTTCATCAGTTACTACCTCATCCACAAGATGTCCTCTGCTAGAATGTGAGTCCCAAGTGGGATGGGCCTCATGAAGGGTAGGAAACTGGTATATTTTTTTCATGAAAGGCATCAAATTATCTCTTCTTGCCTTTTTCCCCTCAGGTGAGGGAAAAGATACTCCTATTTTTCCTCCATCAAT